GCAACGCAGTTTCAACAGCTCCCTGCCGCAGATACAAGCTAAAGTGAAATGGGTTTGAGTTTCGTATATCCCGCCCCAAGGTCGACAAGGCACAGGCTGAAGCTTGGGTTGAATGATGCCAAGTTGCGATATGGCATCGCGTTGCAAAAAGCAGGAGTTGGGCAAAGCAAAACTGAACGAGTTACGCCAGGCATACCAGCAACGGCAAAGTGCAGGGAATTTGACTCCGGAGGAGATGCAGGATTTCAAGAATCGGCAGGTGGCCGCTAACAAGCTGTTCCAAGAGGGAAGCGAGTTCTTTATCAAGTTTAAAGAACAACAAGACTCTTTTCGAGTTGGGCAGTCACAGGCGCAGACGCAAACGCAGTCACAGCCACAGCAGGCGCCACAACAGCAAACATCAAATGCGCAGCAAAATAGACCTGTCGTCGGTGGTCCCGCTCCCACAGTTCCGCAACAACAGCAACAGCCACAGGGTCCGATTGTGAAAACCGAGCCGGGCTTGCCTGATGGGCCCCGTCCGCCAGCTCAAGCTTCTACTAATGGGCCATCTCCCTACACTATTACCTCTGCTGTAGCTGCGCGAAACCAGGCTGGCCAAACCATCATGTCTCCTGCCACTTCACAGGCGGGTCAACCCACTTCACAACCACCTCAAATCACCGGGCAACCTCAACAATCCACGGCTCAGAACCCTCTACCACAGTCACAACCACTTTTTCCCCAACACCCATCACAAACCGAGTCCTCCAGCACTCCCTTATCCACTACCTCAACCCAGAACATCGCGGGCCATCCCCAGGGCCCACCTCGGCCCCTCTCCCAGGAAGCTGCCTTCCAGCAATCTGCCCAAAACTACTCAAACTCAACTCAACAACAGACACCCATTCAACAACAGCCGCAGCAGCAGCCGCAGCCGCAACCGCAGCAACCGCAACCTCAGCAACAGCAACAGCAACAGGCCGCAGCAACCGTCACCTCTTCCGCAACAACAACTACAACAGCCTCATCCTCCTAACACCCACTGCCACCCTCGCGGATACACGCACAATCCAACTGATAGCAGTTCGCGTAGCGTGCACATGGCCATTCCCAAGACCCTGAACGTCAAATCTTCTCAACCCGAATCCTTGGGTCCCTGCGCGTCCTACGTTATCCGGTGGACCCAGTCTTGGCGCTATGGGAGTGATGAGCCAACC